CTTAAAGCCTTTAAGAAAAAAAAAAAGTCAGAAAACGCGACAAGAAAGATTTAGTTTTTCTTGAGAAATTCCCTGGTTGTTGTTTTATCCATGTGATCTAAGCCAACATGATTGGCCTCAGAGTTTTAAGTTTAATATGTTGTTAATTAGATATTTTTGATTTTAAATTCTTGTTTTAGTACAGGGTGTTGATAAGTTGGAGAGCTGAGAATTAAGATATCTCTATACGGCTCCTTTATAATCAAATGTATCCACATAATTTAGTGAAGACAGAAGATCAACATATAGAGGAAAGCGGAAGCGTAATGCACTCAAATAATTATGTATAGTTAACACATTATATCTTCGAGATTGTCTCTGATAATTCACAAGTATATAACAAATACTCGTTAATGATTCCGACTCACAATCCCAATTCATATCAAAAATTTAATCATTCCAGACAATACTGTACGTATAAAGTAACATTAAAAGATTAGTGTTAGACCCGGGTTTCGATACCCGTGGTAGGCAGAGCACAGATAGCCCTTTGTGTAGCTTTATGCTTAATAACAAACAACAGCAACTAGTGTTAGACAGTTAAAATTGAAACAGTTATTTCCAATTATTTACATGGTTTTCCTTTTTATAAATAAAATGTTAGTATTGAAAAATTAAGCAATCTGCATCAGCAAATTTATTATTCTAGCTCTTCTTTATTCATTTCTGTAGCGTTCATTGTCGCGCACAATTTTGATTTGTTCAAATCCTCCAATTAGTCGAAATATTTAGTCGTGCTTCCAAGTGTTATCAAATAGTTTTGTACAGTTCCATTGGAATATACACAACTCGTTTGAGAATTTTCTTTTTTCCCCTTTTTCATTTTTGAAAACAATATTACGAAAAGCGATAAGGTAAATGCTAGGTATGGTGACAATCGGTCCAACGGTTTGCCATATATAAACAGACACACATACACAGACTTATGTCAAATAATGGTTTGATAATTAGTAGTGTTGTAACTGAAACGATTATTTTCATGTACTTTTGTGATTTTCATTTTGAAAATCTCACTTTAAAACCGTAAGATTTATTGGTATTTTTAACACATGTGTTTCTTCTACGTATTTTTAATCTGAGGGGACCACTAAAATGTTAAGAGACAATTAAAATAATGTTTACTGTATGTAGCCTTTTTATCATAAAATATTTATACACTCAGATAACAAGAATGTCTTCAGATCAGGATAAATAATTTCCATGATGGGGATATGAATTGTACTTAATGGCACTGGTAAACAAACGATCAACATGTGGAACCAGGATCAACCAGAAAGAGACTTGCAAAAAGTCGTACCCAGCCCTCGCAAGCAATATCATATCAAAGTAAACGGTGTACATGAATGACCTGCGATACGAATCTAAAAATGATAACACTAATTTTTAAATATATTAACCTAACATAAACCATTAGTTGACAAATGTGTGCATGTCGGTTTATAACTGTCAAAACGCTTGACTAATTGTCACCGAACCTGACATGTTCTCTGAATACCTTCATGTCTGCACACGCCCCCCTAATTTCATTGGTCATAACCAAACTCTGCATTCACATTTACGGCTGCCTGAGTCAAATGACATACAAGGCTTGGGGTTCTGATATACCATCCTATTTAATCCCACTGTGTCTTCCTCGTGCGTTAGCTAGTTTACACTATTTATGGTAAATTCGTTCAAAACAGATACTAAAGCAGATATATTGTAAAACGTACGTGATTTACTTTAGCGTTAGAACTGTTTTTTAATAAATAAATATACATTTCACATTTTTTTTTTACAATTGTATTTTATAAACATAACTTAGGAAAAGATACAATGAGAATAATGTTGTGTTTTAAGAAACGTTATACACTATTGTGTAGGTGTACAACGTAACTTAAGAATTTCTATCTTACGAGATTTATAAAAGTTAAGTAAAACATCAAAGTGTTGAATATAGTAAGATACTGCTGAGAGCATTCAGTCTCAAGACTACAATTTCAACAAACAAAAGAATCAACAACTAAATTATCTCGTAATATATCTATTTTTAATGACAGTCTTATCATACGTTGTTTATGTTCATGGTGTTTACCACATTATAATAAAATCATTAAAGAAAACTTGCAGTTTTGTAAAGATCGACAGAAGTACATATATTGCAACTTTTATTTTAAAAGGAAGTAAAGGTTTTGATGAACCTCTAGTTTAACTACTTCCGAAGTTGTTTTTTCACTCCAACTCGCACTACCTACTGGTAATTATTAAATTAATGGATCCAGAGAATGGGAATTTTAATTTTATTAATAAAGTAATCGCTACATATCAAAGAACACCATGTATATTTACACAAAAATATCATTGAGATTATTAGCATTTAAGTGCTTCGGAATAGATATGTTCAATCTCAAGTATATAACTATGAATACCTAATCTAGTCCGAAAGATTTACACAAATACTTAAACATATGTTAGATTTATTTGTTTGTTGTTAACAACAAAGCTACACAATGGGCTATGTCTGATGTGCCTACCACGGGTATCAAAACCCGATTTTTAGCGTTATAAGCCTTCAGACTTACCGCTGTGCTATTGATGGGCTACATGATAGAGCAGTTCTTTTGTTATAATTATTTAGTTGAAACGAACTTGATATTTAGTTCTGTAATGTTTTCTATCATAAGGAGAGTTTTTGTAATCAATATTTTTATGTTTAACTCGCAAGTAGTGAATACTGTAAAACGGTTTCTTCAGAATCAGTACCATTGACCACTTTTTCCCACACAAAAATTTTACAATTGTAAAAAGTGATCATTCAGGCATAAAAGTACTCATTAAGTAAAACGAAAATATCAAATATAATTTCGAAAATTAACCGTCACTTTTAACATAATTTAATAAGTTGCACCTAATATGGCACTTAATATTCAAAGAGACAACAGTTTCGTGATAAGAGCTTTAAACAAAAAATCTGTCATTGTGATTTCAAATAAAAAAATCATAAAAGGACCTGGATTGTCAAAGAACTTTTGTTTTTGTCATCAAGGTTATATTTTGTTCAAAATTTCTTATGATCATAAAATCGAAGATCAGATATATATTAATAAAGATAAATGAAAGCACGATATAAAACAGTGCAAGTTAGAAAAAGTGTTGAATTATTCTTAAATATCTTTTAATGTATGTACTCTTAAAAAGCAAATCTGTTATGTGCGATTCACACTGAAAATTATAAAGAAAAACATGTTTCGGTATACAACTGCATTACAAGGTTTTTATCTATCTCTTATTAATGTTTTAATACTGATAGTCAAGATCATAATTTTGTGTTTAATAAATAAAATGTTTTTTTAATGTATTTGTTAAAAGTTTTTAGATAGTGCGTTTTCATAAATTAGATATATATTTCTGAATTTCATTTGCATATAGTTTGCGTCTAACTCTAAATCAACCTAAAATATCTTTCGCATTCATAAGATGTTTTAATTCTCAGTTGCATTTCATCTCCCCCTCTATTCATAATAGTAAAGTAATCAGCTTTAAATGCACTATAACTACCTGGTAAAAACTTATGATATTCTACAATATTTATCAGTCTTGTTGGTGCGAATGTGTACACGGCCTAGTGGTTATGTATAGGGCTGTGGATCAAAGAATCAAGAGTTTGACAAGGAATGCCAATGAATACACTCTGTACTTTGATGTATGGGCATGTTACGAAAATGACAATAAATCCTGCCGTTCCATTCACAGAGCCGGACAAAACACTTGTGACGGCAGTCGCTGTTGGTTGGGTGCTTTTCCTCATGTTACATATTAGAATGTCAAATAGCCTGAAATTGTGTTAACTGATAAATTGAAATTTAATAGTTAAATTGTACTTTGGACTTATTAGTCAGGTAAAGTCGATATATGTAACCAGTTTGTGATATTTGCCAATAAGATTGATATACACAGTTTTCTTTTTTTAACACAAATATGTTTTAATATACAAACAACAATACAATTTACAATAACAGTTATTACAAATAATTTTTACACACAATGATTTATATACAATAATTTTACAAACTTACAAGCAATATAAAGTCTTCTTTCTAGTCTGGAGCTTCCTTGATATCTTATCGAGGGCTCACGATGAGCGAGTTAATTACGAGTTGATGTAGGTACAATTCACTTAATAGGGAGCTGCTAGCCCTGTAGATGTCGCTGATCACACGCCGATATTTTTCCTACGGATGATGTTAGATAATGTTTTCGTAAAAGTACTAATGTCCGATGTGAATCCACTGAAGTTAAATAGTTTGTAACGTTCGAAATTTATAAATGTTCCTGTTGAAATATTTTAAGTTTTCCGATTAATAAGCGTTATAAAAATCGCAGTTATGGCTTCCGAAGTATATAGCACACTGATTATAGCAAACTAATAATAGATACTCTTTTTTTTTTTTTTTGGCGCGTCGTGTTGGATATATTTATAGGCGTGTGGAGGCTTTCTAGAATTTGCAGTTTTAAGTAACAATACTGGCGCTAACACAAGCGTTTACGTACACACATATATTGTTTATTCTTATTCTCGAGAATCTTCTACAACTTTGGACAATAGACGGGAGTTTCACAATACATATTTAACACTATAAGCTATTTATGTTTCTAAATATAAATTTAATCTAAACAAACGTCGATATTATGATAAATATATAATAAAAAATTCGTTATACTCTGCTCAGTAGTAGTTGTTCAAAATTGGGGATTGTCATGCCAGAACTATGTGTCTTTCACCTGGCCACCTAGACCACGTGAACCATGTTGAAATTTCCTATTACAAAAAATATCATATTGTATTATTTTCTTTTTAAAATGAATTTTTCTTTATTTCTTGACAAATATTAAGCATTTAGTTTATTATTCTATATGCCGAGTAGTCGCGCTATAGACAAATCACGTACTGTTTTAATCAGTAACGAAATTCGCACTTTGCTCATTTGATAAGTAGTTCTCTTTTACAGATTAACATTAGTGAAAGAAAATATGTCTCTTCTCGTGGCTAGGATTTTGACATTAGTTTTATTGCTGATTGGAACTTTCATTTGTGGAATAGTTCCTATTATTCTGGTGAAACGGCTAAAGCAAAGAAAAGCAACGAATACCGCATCTCGAGGAGACCAGGCCACGGCAGCTCCTCCGTTACTCCTATTTTGCTGTGTTTTGGTGGGGGAGTTTTGTTTTCGACGTGCTTTGTTCACTTGATGCCAGAAGTTCGAGCAAGCTTTGAACGTTATTGGTTACAACTGAAAGATGACATCGGTGGTTATCGTTTCCCTATCCCTGAATTAATTGTGTGTTTCGGTTTTATATCAGTTTATATTATAGAAGAGGTATTGAATGCAGTCTTGGGGAGTGGTAGACAGAGAACAGAAAGTATAAGTATTCACAGTTCAGCGTTATTCAATTCTGGTAATACCCGTGAAGGACATGACAAAAGTGCAACTTACGGTAGCACAACTATTAAACACACTCCTTCCAATGATCTTCATGATGCTTCACCTGTATCTTCAAAATTTTCAATTCGAGGTATGATAATTATCTGCGCATTGTCATTTCACTCGATCTTTGAAGGATTTGCTGTAGGACTTCAAGAAAATGAGAAAGAAACATGGACTTTGTTCTTTGCTGTGGCAGTGCACAAGTTTGTAATTGCCTTTGTAGTAGGATTAGAGGTGTATTCGCAAAGCACCTATGCAATTGCAGTAATAATCTACATGGCAATATTTGCAGTTATGTCCCCATTGGGCATGTTTATTGCTATGGTGACTGAAAGCTCTTTGGAAGGTTCAGCTGATCTAGCTGTGGGTACTTTGAATGGTTTAGCAACAGGAACTTTAGTGTATGTCACATTTTTTGAGGTTCTTCAAAGGCAGAAATATTCCAACCTCTCAGGTTTGCTTCAGTTATTTGCAATGCTTGTTGGTTTTGGTTTAATGATTATAGTGCAATGGCTGACAGATCAGTAACTCTAATTATTAAAGAAGCAATTACAAATTTACTTTATACAGAGGTTGGGTACGTTATATTAAAACGATTGAGTCTATATCGCCATGTCCATTTATGATCTATCTGATGACCGTGCGTCTTGATAATAGCTCTGCACTGTATTTCTTTTATTACAAAACGATCCGTAGTAACTATCATGTTTAAAGAATACATCCTCTAACCTGCATGTCTTTCATAAACTATCTAGTGTACAAAGACATTGGCTTCGTAGTGCCTATTTAAATGTTCCCTTTGCACAGAAATCCATAGGCGCTACATCCTATGGCTTGATGGTATGCCTTCGTTATGGAACACTATAGATATCCATTTCATTTTCCAGTAGCTTGAGGTATGCGATGGTTGAACAGATATGATGTGAAGAAGCTTGTACATATGCGAAATGTCGCTTTTCCAGACAAAAGTCCTTTATGATTATGTTGCGCGCTGTTGTCTGGGGCACGTGAACATTTTACCACTGCCCATTGTATTCGTGGATTCTCACATTTTAAAAGATGCCGCACTTTGCTAACAACGCTAGGATACGACTTGTTTAGGTCTCTTTCTGGATCATTCTTATTTTCTGAGTTGACTCATATTCATTTGTAGTTGTTACCTGACATGCCAATTTTTATATTCAAAATCGTTTTGATATCATGTAATCAATACTTTCCATTATAATTAATAAATCAAGATGGCTAATTACCAGAGTTATTGAAAACAAAGATCATAGTGAATTATTTATAATAGAAAGTTACGTACTATAAACCATACTACTGGAGGATGACAGAATTTTATCGAAGCGTTGTACATTTATAATATAGTTTTCTTCATTACCCATTCAAACGGCTTCTATGTATTATAGAGTATTTCATGTGCTAATGGTCTAAGCTCTTATTTCCAAATATTACAAAAATTGTCCATTAGTTAGTTGGTTTGATAATAAAGTTAGGATTACAAATTTTTTTTTCTCTCGAAAAATTAAAGATTATTTTAACAAAATCGCTAAATCATTTGTTTCGTATTGGATTACGATTTTTATAAGTACGGCATAACTGTTTGGGGTAATGTTTTATAGAGTATTTCATATATCTATATAAAATAATTTGTTTAAACCATCCATAAACTATTGATCTGGATACAAATGATTTTTAATCTATTTTATCCAACTTACAAGATAGATAAAAACATCATAACTTTCATCTTACCGAAGAAAAAAACTTTTTGGGTAAACACACTCTGTTGTAATAGTGATTCTTCTTTGTTATTTTGAAACGCATGTTTTTTTTTTTGGTGTGCGAATACTCTATTATATTTGATGAAATATATTTGTGTATTTCAATTTTTTTTTTCAATTTTAGAAAATTTTCTTTATGTATAAATGCATACCTTTTGATATGTCATAAATTTTCTTTCAAGATACCAAAAAGAAAAAGCTAATTTTTCAATAACAATTTCCAATCAAATATTTATGAAACTCAACATTATTTTTTGAGTATTATAAAATGTGTTTAATAATCTTTTTCCCAAATGATGTTATGTGTGGTGCTTCTCTTTAGAAAAGAGTTAGTAGACAACGAAACAACACTTTCATAAATATAGGTTCGTGAATTTATTAAGTGGACTATAAATTAGAGAAAAAGTGTAGAAGAGTCATAGAAGTTTAACAAACATAACTAAGTGCTTATTTACTATCTGCAACTCACATATATACATGGTTTAAGTAACGAAATCAAAACGATACAAGATTGATGAATGGAATGAAACTTAACATATATTAAAGTATGTCATCGCACGGTTAGCCTATGCTGTAAAATCCTTAGACGAAATCAGCACTTCACAACACGATTTACTCTTTTTAATGCAAATATTAATCTCCCCATGGTCAGTAAGAAATATCTCTTTCAACTTCCATGCTTTCTACAGCTGACCAGTCACAAACTGGATAAAAGAACTCGGAAATATGGCTGTTATAATGAAAGGTGGATAATAAAACTATTCTTCCGACTGATAGAGTGTTTTTATTGTAAACAATAAATATCTCCTGTAATTGCATTGCTTTTAATTATTAAGTAATATTTAGTAATAAAGCTAATGTTATTTTTTTCTCTATCTTTATATTTTCTAAAAAGACACCCCTATATTAGAAACAAATCGTTGTCTTAAAAAATCATATTAATTCACTTAACAAGCGATATTGGGGAAATACAACTATTCAATAAAGTAATAGATAACTCATGAGATCCAGTTATTCTAAAGAGAGTAACATCTATGGCTGATTTCACGCTTGTCTTATACTGGATGTTTCTGGTTCTAAGTAAAACTCTAGCAAAGTTGTAAAAATATTTTTACTACATTAAACGTTTACATGTACACTTTAGTAGAACTGTGTTCAGAGATTATATACTTTGTTACAATCATATAAACTTCTGGATCAAAATAATAATTTTGTACAAACTTTAAACACATGTATTGTGAAAAATAATGTTCGTCATTCATGATTTTTTTTTTGCATGAAGTAATTTATTAATGACACGAATTTAAAATACAATCACAAATTGAAAAATACCCAGATAGGATTTTCTCTTGCCATTAACAGCGTCTTTAACAATTGCGTGTTATTATGAAAATTTTCACTTTCTCAAAGAGAGGAAGGATCCTTAAGTCTAGAAGATAATTTGAAAATCACGATTTTATTTCTATCTCTTAGTAATAATGAGCTTCATTGATACTTTAACTTATTCATTTTACACTGTAAGCTGAAAATCATTGAAATTGTGATTAGAGAGAGAGAATTAGAAACGTTATTTGCTGAAACTTTCAGTTCACGATCTATTCAGAAAACAATATTCCCCAAGAATAATTTTATGATCTAAAACCATTTTTACGTATTATTAATAATCGTTAAATATATTTTTGCTGTTTTTTAAAATTTTAGTATATTGGGTACAACATAGGAATGTTATGTTAAAACCCACTGGTAAGACTAAATAATTTTCTGAACGATTTGAATTTATTTTTTGGAGTAGAACAGAGAAAAAATTCAATATTCAGTGAAATTCATATCTTAATTTATTTTACATTATTAGTACGAATATGAATAGCTAAAGAAAACTGATGTACGTCTATATTTAATGCATTTTCAAATTAAAATACATCTATGTATCTGATTCAATAGGATTCCAATCTGATTTACCAAATAAACTATAACGTTGATATGTATTCAGTTAATAATGGCTGGAGACGGCTTGAATAGGTAATGAAGAAAAACTTTAATATAACAGTAAATGTACAACGTTTCGACAAGGTTTAGTCTCAAAGTGGGTTCCTCGTCATCGAATATGTATTCAGTTAGCTAAGTCCGGATGAAAATATAATCAAACATAAGTATTATCATTATTATTATTACAATAAAGTTGTAAGTACCATGAAGAAAAACTTCTGTTAATAACAAAGTAGGAGTTAGCTTATACAATAAATAATAAAACTTACCCATCAATATATATTCGTAAAAAACAAACAAAAAACTTTTGATATGACACTAAGTATGCACAAACATTAAAATATTTGTCATCAACTTTCGCCCAACAAATTTACCTACATAGTTAATAGCCTTTTGCTCTACCAAGATGTATACTTAGATCATAGGTAAAAGTTAAGTTAGTGATGGTTATAGATAATGTAATATACCACTTTTACATATAATTATTCAATGATTCATAAGTCGGGTATCCTCGAGCGTTAACAATATTTTCAACCGTAACTCCAATAATAACTCAAGAGGTTCAATCGGTTTAAGAGATTTAGGTTAGTCATAAATCCATATACTAAGGTAATATTGCAAAATAATCTCATGAGTTTGTTTTGTTTTTTGCTTGTACGTACAGACTACACAATGGGATATTTGTGCTTCCCTTACCATCTATTTTAGCGTTATAATCCATTAGTTAATATATAACATTTCAAAACTTCTCTACATATTGTGTATGTAATCTTAATGCACAAAGTCGGTCAAAGAAGTCACTAGGTTCCTCTAGCTATAGTTATTCACAGAATTAGGTCATTCAGCTAGGGTTCACTTTCTTCTGAGCAATATTTCTGAAATAGATAATGATATTTTCCATATGGCAGGTCAGGTAATACCCCAAGGAAACAAAATTACTTATTCTGAAGTGAGAGTTACTGCTAATCACGCAGGTAGCTCCTGCTACCTGAAAAAAATGGTATTCTTGTTATTAGTATATAATGCCATGTTTTGTCAGTCTGGAACAGAATGATTTTTGGAGATTGACATAATTTTAAATTATAACACACATAAAGAGCACTTCAGTAAAGGGAACACACGGTATACATGTCTTTTAACTTCAACTGTGTAAAGTAAAAATATTTCTTGTGTTTAACAACTCTCATGTCTCTTTCTCTGTACCAAAATCAGTCGGGTTAAAATAATTTAGATTGTTTTTGCTCCCCAATACATTTTCTTGCAAGCCTCCCGTTATTTGGTGGTTTTTAACCGATAACTCGACTAGAAATCAGGGAACTTAAGAATACCATATTACTTATAAAACACATAAAAGCTAGTTGTTTACTTCATGGGTTATCTCCGATTCCCCATCCCATGAAAAGCATGACACCAGGATAAACATAACTTGATACAGTCTTTTCTGAAAATGTCTAGTCACCAATTAATGGCTCTAATAGTGTTTGGGAAGCAGGGCTATTAAATAATTCCTAGATTTACAAAAACTTTATCACATCAGTTCTACATTTAGTAGTCTAGTCTGTCTGTTTATCACAAAATTAATAAAATGTTATTTACAGTTAGGTTCTCATCTGTAAAATGTTGAATTGATTGTTGGTTTTAGTACATTTCAAAACTACATTCTAGCCTTTTTATATTTTACGTGATAATGATATTCAGAATATACAAACAGAAGATATCTGATACGAGCACTAAATCAGTAGCTTTTTTTGTTGTTTTTTTCTGTTGTTATTTCTCTGTTTATAATAAATGTCTAGTATAATTTGTTTGAGATAACTAAAACATTACGTAATCTATACTCCATATTTCATTGCAATTCTCAGTACACAAGGTTGTTATAGCAGTCACGGGAGAGGATGATTTGGTTAAATTAACAAATTGCATTCCTAGAAATTTTTGTGACTATAATGTACGGGTAATTAAGGTTTTCATTGTTCCATATTATTGCTTCACGTCCAGGTTATTAGTGCACGCTGCTGGACAGATAACGGAATTCCACTATCTCAAGCGATTAAAGACATAAAAATAACATAATAGAGAGTCAGTCATGATATAGAATTTTTGAAAACCCTTTACACCAAACTACATACATAACTTTGAATGAAATGAGTTGTTCTTAATGACAACATTTCAAATTTGAGATATTTTTTTGACAATAAAAATAACTATATTCCGTTAGCTCCTCATTCTTTCTCTTGCAGAAAGCATGTGATTTGACACTGGGACTTGTTTTATATTTAATACTTTTACTTTAGGCATTTTCTCATTTCTGCCTTTCGTTTAAACAAAACACTAAAAATAGCTTTTTCCTAAGCCCTTTTGGTTTTTAGAACATCGTATTGTGCTCTGACGTTGTATTGTGTTGTTAATGTTCCTAGGTCTATGTTTTGCAATCGGCTTGTTATATAATTTCACAATTTAGTTAAGCATCTTTAAAGATTTAGTGAAAATCTTCGGTC